TGAAAAGAACAATTAAACAATGCTTGGCCAAATTACTTTCTATGTGGTGGGTGGTGGGTGGTGGGTGGTGGGTTGTGGGGTGGGGGGTTGGAAGCAACTGGGAATGCTGTACGGCGTTTTACTTTATAGGTTCTGTTCTTGTAAGTTGATTGAGCATTTCATAAGATGTTTTTCTTCATTGGTTATTGTAAGTTGATGATCTCTTCACGTAAGGATTGATAAATTGGTAAAGTTGGCAAGGACTTGGGGTCTCTTGGTCATACTGGTTTAAAGGTCTCAAGTTCGAACCTTTTGGTGTGTTTAATACAAAAAACTCTTGATATCTCTCGAGTCTGGGCCTTGGGGTGGGTGCTAGTGCCCCTGGGTATAGGGGAGCAACGCTCTGAATCCCAGTTATCCAAAAAACTGGTAAAGACCGCCTTTCTTTTCTTCTCACTCGTAAATAGGGAATGATCAAGCTTGCCATGGTCTTGAATCTCATGTAAGATAGTAAAATGCACCTTTGAGGCATTGACAAAAAACTAGGGGATTTTTATGAGCACAAATAAAATTGAGAAATAACCGTAACCATTTAGCTAAAAGGGTAAGTGTTAAATTATATTATTTTCTTTTAATTTTCTATTGTGTTTAGGTTAGGTTTCCCTGTTCTAATGGGTAAGTGTTTTCTTATCCTAATAGGCAAGGGTTTCTTTTCTTTTCTTCTTTGTAGCTCCTATTTATAGTCTTGTATCAATTCTTTGGAGGTAAGTAAGAAATAATTTTTTTTCCTTATCAATTAACATGGTTTATTGTGTTCATTGATGATTGTACTCGAGTCTCATGGGTTGTTATTTTAAAGCAAAAATCTGATGTTGGTTCTACCATTCAAACATTCTTTCATATGATAGAAAACCAATTCGGAATCAAACCCAAACGATTCCGCTCTGACAATGCTTGAGATTATTTCAATCAAAACCTAACATCATTCTTTCAGAAAAATGGAGTCATCCATGAGTCATCTTATGTGGACACTCCTCAACAAAATGGAGTGGTCGAAAGAAAAATTGGTCACATTCTTTCTGTGACACGTGCCATTCTTTTTCAAAGAAATGTTTCTAAATCCTTCTGGGTGGAAGCTGTGCTGACAGCCACTTATTTAATCAATTGTTTACCATCTACTACTCTAGAACAGAAAACTCCTATGGATATCCTATCAAAATTTTATCATGATTTTCGAACGACAAATAACTTGATTCCTCAAGTATTTGGTTGTGAAGCCTTTGTTTATGTTCACAGTCATCAGCGAGGTAAACTTGATCCACGAGCACTCAAGTGTATATTTGTAGGATACTCGAACACTCAAAAGGGATATAAATGCTATCATCCTCCTTCAAAAAGGTACTTCATCTTTGCTGATGTTACCTTTTACGAAGATATCAGCTTCTTTACCTCACCTTATCTTCAGGGGGAGGAAATATTGTTGGAAGATAAGAATTTGCCCATTCCCAACCTCACAATTCCTGTATTAAATCCTTTACCATCGCCTGTACCAAACCCTATTGAAATTGACCCCAACATTAGTCAATCCTCCTCATCTTTACCACCCATAGACACCTGACCAGGGCCATCTAACCCTTCTACTACTATACCATTACAGGTTTATTCAAGAAGGAGCATTGAAAAAGATACGCAAGTCCAAGAGTCTGAACATATCTCTCGAACTGAAATTGACAATAAAAGAATCAGTGATGAATCAGACATTACAATATCTGCTAATGATGAGTCGGACCTGAATTTGCCTATTGCTTTAAGGAAGGGAAAACGAACTTGTACTCAGTGTCCATTGTCTCACTTCGTATCATATGACAAACTCTCAAGTGAGTACACAAGTTTCATGGTTAATCTTACTCAGGTAAATATTCCAAACACATATATGGAGGTAATACAACATGAAGAATGGAGGCAAGCAATGAATCTTGAAATGCAGGCTTTAGAAAAAAATAGAACGTGGGAGTTGGTTACTATGCCTAAAGATAAGAAAGCTGTAAGATGTCGATGGATATATACTTTGAAGTATGAACAATTGAGAGGTACAAAACACGGTTGGTTACAAAACACGGATGGGACATGTTACAATATGATGTAAAAAATGCTTTTTTGCATGGTGATCTTCAAGAAGAAATTTATATGGAGATTCCACCTGGATATGAGCAAGCAGGAAATAAAGTTTGTAAATTAAGAAAGGCGTTGTATGGATTAAAGCAATCTCCTAGGGCATGGTTTGGTAGATTTTCTCAAGTTAGGAGGAAGATGAGCTATAAACAAAGTCAGGGAGATCATATATTGTTTATAAAACATTGTACTGCAGGGGGAGTGACAGCACTAATTGTTTATGTCGACGATATTATTGTCACTGGTAATGATAATAACGAACAAGATATATTGAGAAATTGTTTAATCCAAGAGTTTGAAGTTAAAGAACTAGGAAAGCTGAAATATTTTCTTGGAACAGAAGTTGCCTATTCTGAACAAGGCATATTCCTATCACAATAGAAATATGTGATTGACTTACTTTCTGAAACAGGAAAACTTGGCAGCAGACCGATAGGAACGCCAATTGATCAAAACCATAGATTATGTGCATTTGAAGAGAGTCCTCCAGTAAATAAGGAAACTTACCAGAAGTTAGTTGGAAAATTAATATATCTTTCTCATACGAGACCATATATTGCGTATGCTATAGGAGTGGTAAGTCAATTTATGCATAGTCCAAAAGAAGTTCATCTCCAAGCAGTGTACCGAATACTTCACTATTTGAAAAACTCCATTGGGAGAGGATTGTTGTTTAAGAAAGGCGAGAAACTCAATCTAGAAGTTTATACAGATGCAGATTATGCAGGATTGATAGACGATAGAAAATCCACTTCTGGCCATTGTACTTTCTTTGGTGGAAACTTAGTGACATGGAGAAGTAAAAACAAAATGTAGTTGCAAGATCGAGCTCAGAAGCGGAATTTAGAGCAATGACATTGGGCATCTGCGAATTACTTTGGATAAAAATTATTTTTGAAGATTTGAAGAATCCATGGGAAATGCCTATGAAATTTTACTGTGATAATAAATCTGCCATCAGTATTGCACATAATCCAGTTCAACATGATAGAACCAAGCATGTTGAGGTTGATAGACACTTCATAAAAGAGAAGTTAGACAACGGTCTCATATGTACTCCATTTGTACCAACAAATAATCAAATAGCAGTATCCTAACTAAATGTTTGAACAACAACTTTGAGAATTTGGTTAGCAAGCTAGGAATTCACCAGCTTGAGGGGGAGTGTTAAATTATATTATTTCTTTTAATTTTCTATTGTGTTTAGGTTAGGTTTCCTTGTTCTGGGTAAGTGTTTTCTTATCCTAATAGGCAAGGGTTTCTTTTCTTTTTTTCTTTGTAGCTCCTATTTATAGTCTTGTATCAATTATTTGGAGATAAGTTAAGAAATAATTATTTTTTCTTATCAATTAACAGTAAGGTTCTTTCCTTTTGATTTAGTTCTTGTACAATCCTAATGGTAGCTATGCAGTGCAGTGATTATTTTATTTATTATTGCTATCATAAACTTCTTTCTTCTGACTGTTAATTTTGTAGGTGCACTTGGTAGTCAACTGCCTAGCCAAACATTTGGAAACTCTACTTTAAGTGGCTTCAATAATAGTGGATTAGCAAATATTGGAAGCAATCTTTTTTCCTCCCCAGCAATCTTAACAAATTTCCCTCCAACGGATGCCTCATCAACTATCTTTTCCACTAGTTCGAATTTGAGTGCAGGGGAACAAATTGCGTCAAATGCTCAGTTGGTGTAAGTTTGTTGAAGCCATATTTTACTATTGATAGCCCATTAGTAGAACTTTATTGTTTGCAAATTAAATAATTGACCTTTTTTAAGTTTCTTGGAATATTTAATATTGTCGTTGCTGGTAACCACCACCATCATTAAGCTGGTACCTAGTAAAATAAAACAACAGTTGTAACTCACACCACCGGGGTGTTAGTCCCAACAAGTCTGACTCTGACATTCAAGTTTTTTCTTTAACCATTCATTCATTTCGTTCAAAGGAGGAAACAGATCATACCCCAAAATGATTCAGGAAAAGAGAAAGTGAAGAATAAGTGGCTTGGTGATTTGAAATTGTTCTTGAAAAGCCTTGATCGAGAGTATGAATCTGTAGAAGGGAATTTTGTGTGTACTTTTCTGTGTATGCATACATTCCTGTTCCTAAGCATGGAATAATAATTAACTTGAGAAAGGTGGAGCATGATCTGAGTCGTTGGGTGCGAGATTCACTCATGGATCTGTGCCAGATGTGTAGACCTAGGTTAGACTAGGTTTCATCAGTGGACTTGATGTAGTTTGCACACAGTAAGATTTGAGGTGTTGTGCAGTCCTTAATATTTGTTTTCTTTCTGGACACTCTTGAGTTGATATGTTTCTAGTTCCATGTCCTGTAGGATTGGCTTTCTCAAGATGGAGCTAGCTTGCTTGAGTTGGGTTCCTAAGTATGTTTGAACATTCTTATTAGAACTTGGTCTCTAATCTCAAAAACCTTGATCTTGGCTCATGAGTCGTAAAGTTGAGCGTATACTATCATGCTCATGTCATTCTTTGAGGTCATCCTAACCCTGCACTAGCCTCTGTTGTTTTGGTTTACATTGGCATAGGAAGGGGAGATATATTGTGTTGACATTTTGATCTTAACTAGAATGACACTTTTGCTCCAGATGTAATGAGAAAGGGCGTTTCACCTGCCAAAGTTCTTTTTGACTCGTAGGAATAGTAACAAGGCATGGTAGGGTTACAACTGCACCTTCCATTCTCGACCTTGTAGGAATTTTTTATCCTCATTCTCATGGAGGTTGGAGAACCTCTATTCGAGAATCATGGCCCCTATTTTATATTTATTTTAAATTATTTTTAAATGAAAAATTAATTAAAAGATCAATGAATATACTAAAATTAGCCTTCAAAGGGCAGCCCAGTTGGCAAAGGCTTGGGGTCTCTTGGTCATATTGACTTAAAGGTCTCACGTTCAAACCTTCTGGTGAGTTTAATACCAAAAACCGTTGATGTATTTCGAATCCGGTCTTTAGGGTGGGCGTGGGTGCCCTTAGTTATAGGGGATTCAAGCTCCAACTCCCAGTTATAAAAAAATATGAATATACTAAAATTATATATATTACTATGACCAAATTAGTATTTTTATTATTTAAGTTAAAATATTATTCTGGTGCACGTACTTTAAGCTTTGGTTTATTTTGGTTCATGTACTTTCAAAATCTTCATTTGATCCTTGTACGTTTAACTTTAGTTCATTTTAGTTCCTATACTTTCAAAATGTTTGTTTTGGACATTGTACTTTTAAAAAGTGACTATTTTGATCTCTTAATTTTATTTTTAATCTCGTTTTTTTAATCATAATTTTGACGGGACATTGCATTCAATATATGTTTTGTAATGTAACCATGACTTTATATTAAAGAGTTTCCCTTATATGTAGAAAATGTGTTAAAATTTTACGCCCAGGGACCAAAATGGTCACTTTTTAAAACTATGGGGATCAAAACAAACATTTTGAAAGTACAAGGACTAAAATGAACCAAAATTAAAATTACAGTGATCGAAACGAACACTTTAAAAGTACAGAGGCTAAATTGAACTAGAGCTAAAAGTAGAAAGTTCAAAATATTATTTTAATCTATTCTTTATTAGTTCAAATAGTTAATTTTATAAATAATTAATATATTTTTAGAAAAAGGTTAATAAGTATATAAATAAATGATTTAATGAAGAAATACTTTTTACCTTCTTACAGGTTAGCTGGAATCTTCACCGCCTTTAAAATTTGCTAGCTATTTATTTATTTTTTTAAAAAATAAAAATCTCTCCTCTCCCCTTTTTGCATGTCTCTTTATTAAAAACATAATAGTAGTCAGCAAGAGACTAGTCAGGAGGTAATTATTATTCTTAAAGAAGTCAGAGTTGGGTGGTATGGGGGTTTGTTTCCCCATCCCGGTCCCATCCCGCCCAAAAAATATTGAGGTATTCCTCTAGAAAGTCAAGCTGAAATTTAGGAGAAATTACTTTAAATTTATTTCCTTCTATACTATGTGATCTAGGTTTTCCTAGTAGATCTAGATTGATACCTAATTTCTAGTTTTTGATTGAAGGTAAACTTGTATATATTTTCATTCTATTGTCTTAGAGAATAATAAGAAAAAATTCTTCTCTCAAAAAGCTTCATGGTATTCAGAGCTAAGAAATCAACCCTAAGTTTTCAAACCCTAGCCGTCAAGAGATAAACCCTAATTTTTACCAACCCTAGCTGTCATTAGATCTACCTCCGGCGACCTCTTCTCGGCAACTTCGTCGCCATCTCCGCCATCCGCACCGGTGTCATCCGCGCAAATCCACCGTGACTCCGCCGGCTTCATCCACGACGCGACCCTCATCCGCCAGCTCCATCCGCGACACA